ATAGGGTTGGGGTTAGGATTGGGATCGGGTTAGAGTCAGGGTTGGGGGTAGGATGGCGGTTGTGGGTGTACTGAGAAGGCAGAAACCCTCCTTTTTGCTGCCTGTGGCTCGGCGCCTGTGGCTCAAGCGGCTGAGGCGCCAGCCACATACACCTAAGGTGGCGGGTTCGAATCCCCAGCCTGGGCCTGCCAAACAACAATGATGGCTGCAACCAAAAAATGGCCAGGCGTTGTGGCGGGCGCCTGTAGTCCCAGCTACTTGGGAGGCTGAGGCAGGAGACTCGCTTGAGCCCAGGAGTTGGAGGTTGCTGTGAGCTGTGATGCCATAGCACTCTACCCAGGGGGATAGCTTGAGGCTCCGTCCCAAAAAAAAAAAAAAAAAAAGAAATGGTTGTGTAACTCTGGGAATAGACTAAACCCCACTGAATTACACACTTTAGTGGGTGACTGTGTGGCATGTCAATTGTATCTCAATAAGGCGGTTACATAAAAAATAATTACAATAGTAAGTGGTTGGTGAATAAAATGAGCAGACGGTTGAGATGGAGTAACCCAGCTACGGTGACCACCTGGGAGGTGACCGCCTTGCAGGTTGGGATAGGGGGAGATGGCCACAGCACAGGTGCATGTGCAGTGAGGAGGGGACAGGACCGTGTGTGCAGAGAGCCCTGGGGGCTGTCGTGAGAGCTCAATGACTCCTCAGAAGGGAGAGACAGCCGTGCCTTGCAGTGTGAGTCTGATCACACAGGCGGGACCTGCTGACCTTAGTTACATGGCCACGGGTGCTTGGGACCCTGCAGTAATATTCCTCCCCAGCTGCTCAGCTCCTGGAGGGATAGCCTAGTTTCAATGAAAAGGGCAGACTTATTTGCAGAGTGATTTTTTTCTTACTTTTCTCCTGAGTGTCCTGAAAATCCCCAGGGGAAGGGTAGGCAAAGGGTGGGGTGCCAAGGGGCTCCTAGTAATTCATTGCAGAGAAGTCAGAGACTCCCTTGGGTCACAAGCTGGGCCCTGGTCAGCCAGCCTCCCAAGTTAGGCCAGGTACCCCAGTGCTGAGCTTCCCTGCCAGCTAGTGTGAGGTGGTGGCTCTGAGGACTGCCGCCTAACTGGGGCATCTGGGTTCAAGAGCAGCTTCCCAGCAGGGTAGTGGCAATTCCTGTCCTGAGCCATGGAGAGATTTGGGTGCCAAGGGGCTGCCCAGAGCCAGGGAGGTTGGGAGGTGCCGGAGAAATGTCTTGCAAATGTCCTACCTGCCTGCACTGGAGGACAGCAACCTGTCCCCATGCAGTACCTCCTGTCTTCCAGGGGCCCCTTTGCTCTGCCCTCCCTAGGAGCCTCCCCTCACCTCACCACCATGTTGGAATCTTCTGAGCTTTAGCGTCATCCCACCCCAACCACAGGGATACACGCCAGGTCTTGTAGGATGCCATGGCCACAGGCCAGGCCAAGGCAGTGACCCCAGGCTTTCTGAGGGGCAGTAGAGTCTTGGCTGGGTGCTATGTGAGCCGCCAGCATCACACCAGGCCCTGACAAGATCACAGACACTGCTTAGGTCCCATTCCCACTGCATACTCACCCCAGCCCCCTGGGGTAGAAGGACACAAATGTCACCTCTGCTCTGCAGGAGAGGAAAGTCAATGTCACACAGGAGGTGACAGAGCCAGGATTTGAACCAGGCCAATGAAACTGCAGTCTGGATTCCTCTTTGAATCCTGGGCCCCCCCACCTCTTGGGGAACTCCTTAGCCTCATGGTAGGTCTGGGCACTCCAGGATGAACTTCTGAGCACAAGGCTGCTGAGGGGCTGGGAGCTGAGGGCCTCTGGGGGCTCTGAGAGGTAGGGCAGGGAGCTGGACCCTCAGGCCCAGGCTGAACCAGGGGAAAGTCCATGGTGGGCGGTCCTCAGTTTATGGAGAGCTCCGTGTGGGTGAATGTGTAAACAAATCACGGTGTTATTATAGCTCCACTCCAAGGAAGATCTGGGTGCCCAAAGTGCCTGAGAGCTGCTCCAGACCCTCCGTCTGGGTCCAGGGACAAAGGTCACCTCCTGACTTTGCCTAAAGTGACGATGGCTGTTCATAGAGGCCTTTTCACAAACATGGACCTCTGGGTGGGACCTCTTAATGACCCACGTCCTCTGGAAGGACCCTCCTGAATATGGGAGAAGACCCCTCAGAGACAGAAGTCTCAGGTGTGCTGTGGTGGGAGGGGCATCTCTTCTCTCCTGAGATGGCCACGTGTCCACCCAGACACCTGCCCTCCCCACTCTGTGCTTGTCAACATGTGGGCAGCCGAATGCCTTTGCAAACTGGCTCCATTTTTGGCCCCAGTCAGACTAGGACATCCTCAGGGCAAGGGCTGTCTCCCTCATCAGACAGGGCTTGTAACAATGCTGAGGCCTGGGGTCAGCCCAGGAGCTTTCTGTCACCCTGGTCCTTCTGAAACATCTATGTGGCCCCAAAAGATGAGAGTCCCTTTCTCAAAGCATTCTAGCCCCTGGGAGCAGAGTGGTGGTCAGAGGACTCAATTCCTGAGTACTTGCCAGGCCAGACAGCCTGGGCCCCTGGGACGGTGCCAGGACAGGGCTTGGGTCTGGTGCCTCCCTGGGCTCAGTGCCCACCCCTAATCTGGTTCTCTTTGGGGATGGGGAGGAACCCTAGGCATGGCAACTGGGTCATTTCCCAGGACCCAAGGCTCCTTCACAGGGTTGGCACATCTTGTCCTGCCCCTCAGGGGCTTGGCACTTGCCACTGTCCTTCCCATGGCCAAGCTAAGGGACAGAATTAGCTCTCCACTCTCATTCTCCAGCCTTTCCAAGCAGCCAAACCATCTGGGAGAGGGACCAGAATGGGGCCTCCTGGGAATCTGCCCAAGGCTTTTTCTCCTGGTTCCTCTGGGAAAAGATCCAGAAAAAGACTGAAAGCTTCCTGGCTGGCAGGAGGGGGCAGGGCAGGAGCAGGCTGGGCCCTGTCACCAGGAGAAGCCACTGGGGCTCTGGGAAGCCTGTGCTCCCACTCAGCCAGGACGGTCATCGCTCCTCGCTGGGCTTCACTCAGTCCCAGCGTCTGGTCAGACCTCAGGGATCCCCAAAGCATCTCTGGCCTGCAGGCCAAGTGCAACTTCATGGAAACCTCAGGAGTCAAATCATCTCCAAAAGGTTGGGCTGAAGCCAGGCCATGAGCACAGAAATTCATCTGCTGTTCATGCCTGGGGAGAAAAATCAGGGCTCAGTAGGCAGGACCCACACCTCATCCTCTTTTCCAGTCCCTTTGCATTTAGCAAAGCACCAAAGCATCTTGGCAATGCAGGTGGTCAAGGACCAAAAGGGAGGGGAGGGATGGGTCATGGCTTGGTGCCACATCACTTGCTGTTTGTCTAAGGGGACTTGCGGGCCGGGGAGAGCTGTTCAGTTTCCAGCTCTAGTGCACACATGGCCTTGGAACCTGTGCAGGAGTTGCCCTGCTCTGAGCCCGTTTTCTCATCTACAAAATGGGTGTCACAGCACTGCTTTCCAAAGGCTACTGCGAGGTGAGTGCCGACCAGTGACTCTGCGGCCCCCTGCTCAGCATCTGCTGTGTCCGACCTCGGGCCTCCCTCCATCTTCTGCCTAAATTTTAATTTTCCTCCTGACATGTCCTTCCGTGGAGTGGCAGATCCCATTCTAGTTCTAAACCACTGACTGCTTCTCCAAGGAGGGAATTGTTATTTCCTGGAGCATCTGTGGCAGGTTTGACCACATGACCTGCTCTGGCCAATGAAATGTGGGAAGACATGACATATGTTGTTTCTGGGCAGAAAAGTTTGGCAGCTGGCATGTGGTTCACCAGGTGTGCTTGCCTTCACCATGGGTGATCCTTCCAGACAGAGGCTGCCCAGTTAGCCTGAGCAACAGAGCAAGATGACCCGAGCAGAGATGTAGCCCCCCTCGAAGGACAGGTAGCAACAGTAAGCTGGAAGCCTTCCTGGTTGGAAGCCATTGAGATTTGGGGGTGACAGCCTGGCTGATACATGGGACGGCTGCTGGAAGTCTTTAAAGCGTTCTCTGAGAGCTGGAAGTTTTGGTCTTCGGCTGCTGTGAGGTAGCATGGATAACTAACAGGTATAACGTGATGTCTTGAGACCAGTGGTCGCTCTGTAGGTATTCAGTCAAGAGCGGATATGCAATTTTGACTAGGCATTGTGCACGCAGACCTCAGCTGTGTGTCTAGTCCTCCTCTAACAGGAAGGTTCAGCCTGAGGCTTCTTGGGAAGCTCCACCATGGCGTCAGAGGCCTGTGACCTCCTACACCTCCTGGGAGCCCCATTTTCTCCCCTCTCCTCACCTGCAAGACCTGCGCAGATGGTGGGTAGTTAATAAGAGATGGCATTATCCACCTCTCCCCTTGTGGCCCAAGGTCAAGTTTATTAAGCTTGAAGCAGCAGAGACTACACACCAGGGGAAACATGGGGCGTCGCTACCCAGGTCTTTTTGACCGTAAATTCCCCACGTTGAGGAAGACTGTGCCAGTCCCTCTGCCACTTCAGGTTTTCCGCTTCCCCTGCAATCAAATGGGGCATGGGGTCTGGGTCTGTAGGGCTGGCTTCATTGCGATGAACTGTCACTAAGTGTTTTGGTGACTCACAATTCTTTCTCACTGGCCTTTTGTCCGGCAGGTGCTCCTTAAAGACAGGTTCTGCTCTCCTGGTGGTGGCAGCACCACGGCATGACACAGCAGCTCTACCTGTGGCCAGCTCTCTGCAGATTAGTTCGTGAAGGTCACACCAGGGAAGCAACATGGCCCCTGACCCCTGGCTGTTGGTAAGGGCCCGGCAGAGCTGGTAGGGAACCAGCACTTCCCTCTGCCCCCAGGCCTGGGCTCCACTTTCTCTCCTATTCTCTGCCCTCTTCGCTACGCCTAGCAGCTGGGAACTCTGAACATACTAATTCTCTCTCAAAGGATGGAGTTCCGTGGCTGGGACTGGTCCCCTCCCAACTGCCCTCAGAGGATCTGAACAAAGTAACTCACAAAAGCCATCTTTCTTTATTTTTCATTCCTGCTGTTCAACCAGTTTGTGCAAGCCAAGGATGAGTAGGTTTTGGAGGGGGAGGCAGAGCATCTGGGGACAGACCCTTCTGGAAATAGTCTATGCACACTGCCGAGGTTGGTTAGACTGGAGAAGCGATTGAACAATAAACTCTACAGAATTAGAAATGCACAAAAGTGTCAAGACGGCTGCCGGCTGGTTTCTCGCCTCCCCATGGGGGTCAGAGTTACCCCCATCAGTCCTGTGCAAAGGTCCTGGGGCTGGCCTGGGGGGCAGCCAGATTCTTCCCGGGGGAGAGGAGCTGTCCTGCTCACCCAGCAGAACTGTGCCGACGGACAGATGCAAGGTGTGTGCCCGGGTGCGTGGCCCCCTCCGGCTCTGGCTCCTTGAGTGTGTCTCTGGGTCTCACCTCTATGTCCGCCCTTTGAAAGTGTTCATGCAGGTGTAGGTCCCTGAGAATTTGTAGATTTCCTCGAGCGCAGCCTGTGGGAGGATGCTGGCGGAGTGGGAGGAAGAAGAGAAGACAGTCAGCAGGGGTGTGGGCCTGAGGCTGGGTCACACCCGATGGCAGAATCATGCCACCCATCTCCCAGCCACACACCAGCTGCGCCCACCAAGCCCCTGCGGGGAAGGGCTTTCAAGGAACTAGATAAGCAGCTGTTGACCGGACTGGGGGGATGGGGATAGAAGAAACTTTCAAAGCCACAGCCTTAGCATCTCAGCACCTGTAGGTGCCTAAGAGATCAATCAGCTCCAACTGCCATTTATTCAACAAAGATTTACTGCATGAGTCTCAGAAGTCAGGTACGATTTGGGGAGTTCGTCCTCCAGGGAACTGTCCTGGCCTCACCCTCAAGCCTCTCCTTGGGGCAACCCAGAGCCCCTGTGCATCCCCTGCAGGCCCTGGTTGTCCTCGTCTGTTTACGTGGCCAGCCCGTGGGTGCCTCTGTGGCAGCATTTCACCTCTGGCCCCCCACCCCAATAGCACAGGCCTGGCACAGAGAGGGGGGCCCTTGGTCTGTTGCTGAATCAGACTGAAGGGCCCCAGCCCACTCTACTGTGAGATGGGAAAGGTTCACTTTCAGCTGGAGCAATCTGGAAGGCTTCCTGGGGGTGGTGGCACTAGAGTTGCGCCTTTGAAGATTTCTCTTGGGGAAGATGGAGCAGGATGCAGGGCAGGGAATGCTTCCTCGTTGAAAAGTAGTGGGGGAAGGGCAGGAAATGTAGACTGGGGGATTGCTCTGGAACCCAAAGTGGTTTACCCCGGTATACCTGCCTGACTAGTACCATGACGTTTCTGTGCATTCTGAGTCTTTGGCATCAAGGCCCCTGTACTGCCCATTAGCGTAAACTTGCTGGAGGCTGGGGCTGTCTCTCTGAGTCTCAAAGTGTGGGGTCCAAGAACCCTTGGAGGGGGGTTCATAACATACTAAGATCTGAATTACATTTCCAGTCTCTTTCCTTCTGTATACAGTGGAGCTCTCCAGAGGCTGTATGACATGGCCTATGTCACAACAAGTGCAAATCAGACGCAGATATCAGAATCCAGTTGTCTTCAAATAAAGCAGACAACAAAGAGATTTGCAGAAATGGAAAACAATGACACTCCTTCCTCCATTTATTTTGTTTTAGGAAATATGATTACAGGAAGTGTTTATAGTGGTCACTACATATATATATAATATGTATATTTTAAAATATAACTTAAATATATATTATATGATATATATGTAAAAATATATTTATGTTAAGGCAATGGGTTTGTTATTTATATACAACAAAATGTTGTAAATATAAACAGAGGTAGAAATCTTATATGATTTTTCTGTTTTAATTTCCAATATAGTAAATAGTGGTAAGATATAACTTAGGCTGGGTTCAGGGACTCACATCTGTAATGGGAGGTTGAGGTGGGTGGATTGCTTGAGCTCAGGAGTTGGAGACCAGCCTAAGCAAGAGTGAGATACTGTCTCTACTAAAAATAGAAAAATTAGCTGGGCTTGTGGCAGGCACCTGTAGGCCCAGCTACTTGGGAGGCTGAGGTGGGAGGATCACTTGAGCCTAGGAGTTTGAGTGTGCTGTGGGCTATGATGCTACAGCACTCTACCAGGACCCAGATTGAGAATCCATCTCAAAAAAAAAAGATACAACTCAAATCAACAACAGCTCTTGGGTTCCTTAATACTTTTTAAAGCCGAGGGGCTCCTGAGACTAACAAGTTTGAGAACTGGTGTCCTGGGTGAGGTCAGCACATCAACAGTAGAGCCTGGCGCAGGGCGGCCTGCACACCACTGCCAATACCTTTTCAAGATGATGAGGGCGTGCATGGTCCATGGGAGCAACAGAAGGGCCTGATTGAGCTGCACGGCTTCCACCGTCCTCCGGGCCACGGTCTCCGGCTTCAGTGGGGGGAAGAGGTTGGGAAACCTGAATGCAGGAAGAGACACAGTGAGTTTCTCCTGGAGAGGCACCTGCTTGTGCCAGAAGCCTGTACGTGGCTGACACATCAGGGACACCCTTCCCCCTTTCCTGTTGGGGAGAGTCAAAGACTGTTGGGACACTGCCCCAGCCTCAGACTTGTTGGGAGTTCCACATTCCCTCATCCCTGCAATGCACAGAAGTCTCCCCTAGGGTCATGCACGGACTTCCACCCCAGCCACCTGGGATCCCTTCTCCAAGCTCCTCCAGGAGCTCCCAGAGCACTTGGACTCTGTCCCACGCTCTCCGCAGCCATGAGCCTTCTAGGTCCTGCCAATCAGCAGGACTGACCTAGGCTCTCTGTTCTTGTCACACTATGCTTTCTCCTGGTGAGGGAGGGAGGCTGCAGAGCAGCACCAAGGAAGAGAGAAAAAGAGAAAAGAGGAGAGAGAGGAGAGAGGAGAGAGGGGAGGGGAGGAAAGGAGAGGGGAGGGGAGGGGA